AAGTCCTTAAAATTTGTGAGTAACACAGTGTCAAAATAGTGCCTTGGGGAGATTTAACCCCCAAAAGCCCTAGCTGGATGCGCCACTGTGTAACGCATATTAAGCAAAACTGGAATATTGTTCAGGAAGGGTTAAAGTGATGATAAGGCATACATTAAATCTAGACATGGTCGCCAAATGATAAGAAGTAGGAAGAGATAATCGTGAACAAGACATTGTGAGGAGATAAAACAGACTGCAAAAAGTCAAGGCTACATAAAGTTCTTTTAAAAGACGCTCAGACAAATATTCAATCGCTTCAAAAGAAGTTAGGTGAATAAACTCAGAATGGTGAAGGGACTCTGACAGAATTTTTCTAAACTAACTAGCTACTTCTGAATCTAAGAAAAATGATGTTACTGAACACGTGATAGAAGACAGGACTGACTACTATAACTTATGGTTCTAGAAAAACAATTGGCGCGCTGTAAAAGAAGTGGTGACCACTAAATTGTCCACGTTTAAAAATGGTGAGTAAAGCATAGTATCTGGAAGTAACATTATACTCAAGACTTACTTGAAGTCAGTGGATCGAACAAATAGCCAACATAAGTACATTAATACTAGCCAAACTCATTAAAAAATATGAGATTTAAAACCAGACATGTTATATTGGATTTAAAACATGGTGCTAAAACCAACAATTACATACGCGTCAGTAGAATAGTAACCAAATGTTGCTGCAAAAAAGGGTCATCCTGAAATTAAGTAAGGAGCAAAGAGTAGCTTATCCTATAATCACAGGTGCTTTGAAGGCAATACTGGATCTCTCTCCATTACATATCATTATAAGGATGAGGCAACTTATCGGTTAGATCAGGAAATAGCAACATTATAAATGAAATTAAGGATACCAAATGGATGATGATTAATGACCATATAATCCCGAAATATAGGCCAAAAGTACCGAGCCAAGTGTATCCGAGAGAAATTAATTTGAGAGCTTTTGAGCTAAAGGAAACCAATATATGAACACATAACCAAGCAGCCATGGAATACTCATAAGAACTCAGTGGGCACTAACCTAGTGTTAAAACGTCGAAAGGGACTCGATGGACTAGCAGAACATAAGAGTATCACACTGGTATGGGTCCAGGTTACCAGGAAAAATACGGCAATGGAAGAGCTACTGCAAATATTATCTATTGTAAAAATTCTCAGATTCACTTAAAACGAAGTAAAAATTTAAAAATGTTTGCCTGAAGAAGATATATAATTTAAAGATTTGTATACTGTAAAGTATAGTATCTGGTTGATGGAATCTCTGTAAACGGAAGAATAGTAAATAACATAAGATTCGCTGATGACACCGTTATAATGGCAGACACCCTGGAATCTCTACAAGAATTGGTAAATAGAATTAACGATTATTGCATTAGATACGGACTAAAAATAAATAAGAGAAAAACTAAATGATTGTCTCAAAAACGCAACATGGAGATGAAAGATTATTGATAGAGAAAACCCAAATAGAAAAATTGGAGACATACTAATATCTGGGAACCTGGGTTGATGACAAAAATAACCAAAGCAGAGATATCAAAGTCCGAATTGAAACTGCAAGGCAAGCATTTGTGAAAATGAAGACAATGCTTACCAACAAAGACCTTCGTTGCATATTTTATATCTAAATATACGGAATGGAAGCTTGGACATTGAAGAAACAACACATAAGAAAAATAGAAGCGTTTGAAATGTGGTGTTACAGAAGAATATTAACAATTTAGTGGGTTCAAAGGATTACCAATGCTGAGGTACTACGACGTCTAAATAAGGAGTTAGAAATTATGAACAGGATAAAAAGAAGAAAACTAGAATATTTGGGTCTCATAGCCAGAGGATAAAAATATGAGCTGCTGAGAATTATTATGCGAGGAAGGATCCAATGAATAAGAAGCATAGGAAGAAGACGCATCTCCTGGCTGAGGAATCTTAGAGAATGGTTTAACTGTAGTTCACTACAATCCTTCAGAGCAGCAGAAAACAAAGTGACCATAGCCGTTATGATATCCAACCTCTGATAGAAAATGGAACTTTTAGAAGAAGAATACTGTAAAGTAGTTATTAGTAAATTAGAGATTGATTATAGATTGCTCATAGCGTCATTGCCAAAAGGAATATGCTACTTTCTTAAATTTTACATCCGATTAAGTCCATATGGGCTCAACTGTGCAGAAATAGAAGAAAAAATGTGGCTTCTAAATTTTTGTTACATATTTTCCAGTTACAGAAAAGAACGAGATGTATGGAAAATTTAAGTGAAAAACAAATGCAGTAAATATTTGCCGACAGTAAACAAATCAACAAATAATATGAAATATAACAGTGATAATAGTGGTTCTGAATAAGTTATTAACTTGATTTAGTTGTTACATGACACTTTCATTTTGTGTAATTATAATTTTGGTTTTTACAAAGCTACTCATTTTAAAATTTTTAAAGATGCAAGTCTTTTTAGGGTTCATAAATGTACAGGATATTTTATTTAAAATATTATAGAAATCTGCAGATCTGTATAATAACCCATTTATCATCATTATCCAACCTCGAGAGTCCACTGCTGAAAATACGTCTTTCTCGTGTTTCTAACCCCATCTATTTTGAGCTACACTCATCTAGTTTTTTTTTAGTACAATAAAAAAAACATATAGGGAAGTAAAAACTCGTGGTGTATAATGACATATTTTATTGAAAGTATACCCTTGTACACCAGAAGCTTTTACTTATCTGACAGTTTTTTTCTTTACCTTTCTCTTGATGTTCTTGGTCCCCTTCAATATTATCTTTGTCTATCGCCCATCTGTTGATTAACTCTTTTTTTCAGCCATATAGGTGGCTTACTTTAAAGTTCCTATGCTTTTTATACACTACCCAGCTAAGACTGACTCTTCTCTTCATATATTCCAATTCTATGCAGATGCTCTGGAAAGATTCCGTGGTTAAATTTTAACCAAGTTGTCAACGAGGAATGTACTTTAATATAGTTAAAATTAAAATGGGAAAGATTTTTTCGTAAGCATGGGTAAATAGAAAAGTAATGGTTTCTTGAACGTCTATATTTTCACCTCCGTCTTTCCCTGCCAATACTTGTGGTAATAGAGAATGTTTTTTAATTTCGGATATCTTAGATATATTTTTTACCATACTGCGCACTATTTTATTTCCAATTACCTTACTGTGTCCTTTCCCCCAGAGTAAATAACTGTTTTTTTTGTGAATTTTAGTTCATGTAATAATTCTTTGATATCAAGGATAATGGAGTTTTGGAAATTATTTAATGAATGGCTACGAAGAGCTTGTAATACTGCCTGAGAATCTGATACTAGTACGATGTTCTCACAATAATTAGTAACACACCAAGTTAGTGCTATCTATATGACAATATACTTAGCTGTAAACATAAAACAACAGTCAGTAATTCGATATTTGTTAACATAATTGTTGTTTGTAACAAAAAGTGCGAAACCAGCACTTTCATCAGTTTTTGATTCATCTGTATAAATAATTGTTAAATATCCCCTAACTTGCTTGGTATGGATTTAAATATTACATGTAGTATGAATAAGAGGGCGATATAATGGTTGGTTTGTCTATCAAAACTTCAAGGTCTTGTTCGCAAAAAGAAAATTTTGGTAGCTATAATATATAAGATTGTTATAAATTCATATCAATAAAAGATTCTGCAAGAAGAGGAGAATTTTTTATTTTTCAGTAAGAATTTGTTGGGGTTACACTGGGCGTTTCAAAAGACATAAAAAATTGTACTAACAAATTATTTAATTAGTTATAATACACTCTCAACATTAATGAAGTTTCTATTGAATATATTTATATGGTATTGCTCTCCTCAACTAAAACTAATAGCTAAGGTATAGAACAAAGAACAAATTCCAAAAGAATGGTATACTGAAATTATCTGTCCACTAAATAAAAAAAGGATCTACTTACGTTAAAAAATGATATAAGTACAACTCTCGAACTCAATGTAAAATATATCCTTTAACACCCTACACAGTCGCTAAAGTGCATACGAGGTAGAACTTTTTTGTCGAATATCAGGTTAAATAAAGTGATTGAGAGATGCTCTAGCACTATCACTGCTCTAGCACACTTTCAATATAGCACTAGAAGAGACTGTAAAACTTATACAAAAGAGGCAACATTTTATAGTATACGCTAATGATTTGGACCAGATTGCCGTTTACAAAAAAGCTAATGCGTTTGCCTCCTTAACCATCGCAAAAATATGGGCCTTACAATAATGGAAGAAAAAAATCAACGCATTGATGTGGGTTTCGAATAGTACGGCTAAATAATAAAACTTTGGTCAAAATTTTAAAGCAGGAAATTAAAATTTTACAGTCATACACAAGTTCATACATCTAGTTCTCCTTATGTAGGGAAATATATTAAATTCCTTATAACGAAGAGGCAAGGAAGATTGGGACGACACATTTAGCTGTTTAACTTTATACAGAAGCACTGGTGATAGAGATTAAGAAAGATTAAGTTACAACTAGACACCACTTATAATGATAATTATTTACGCGACTTTATTGATATTTGGAAGGCAACTTATCACAATAATAATTATTGTCCAAAATTGTTGATTTAGATCTCCCAAAGTTGAATATTCCATACATAAGTTTTTTAAGTGACACGCTTACTAATTTTATACTTATGAAGTAATTTTTCGTACTTTTTTTCTAATAAAATTTGGCTTTGTGTACAATAGTGACATTCTAATTTATAAAATTTGTGTAAAATATATAGGTACTACAGATTGTTTAAAACAAACTCATTTTCTCAATGCCACATGCCTCTGCATTCCCCATAAATATATATTTTATATAAATTTAATTTAAAAACTGATAAAAATGGTCACATATTATATAAATAATCCAAATTTAATTATACGCGTATATAATTTTGTCCTTATTAAAAAATACCTTAATTTTTAGCTGAATATATTTTACCATGCAAGAGAAACGACGTCAATATCAACAAATGCTTAATAAATACTTTCAATCATCTAAGGCCTTATCTTAAGGATGGCATCTCAGACATTGATGTACCAAGTATAGACCCTTTGGTAATTGATAACCTAGTAATGGAAAATGGACGTGGACCAGTTCGGGTTAAAGCGATATTCTTCAATATTACCACATTGGGAGCCAGTAACTATACTGTTTCTGCAATAAAGTAAGAATATCTTTAATTAATTAACGTTATAGTAGCTGTGCATACCAGAGCTTCATTTCTGGAAAATTACGTGTATGTTGTGAACTTTCCCTTTCCTAATTAATTGAATTATAAAGTAAATAAAAATTGAATTAGAAATAAATAAACATTCTTTGATCGTTATGATAAGTTCTACCTATTAAAATGAATTAAAATCTAGTATATATATATATATATATATATATATATATATATATATATATAATATATATATATATATATATATATATATATATATATATATATATATATTTAAACCTAGAGATAAGATTAATACTACCATAAAAATAAATATTAAACTCACCAGTCTTCCGGGCTGAACAGCGTCGATATCCATTGGGCCCAGCTTTCGACATCCTTTCTGATGTCTCCTTCAGTACTACTTCAGTACTTCTACTACACTCACTAGTCACTTCACTACTGGAACTGGGAACAGGCAGTGTAGACGAACTGGGGTACACTCGGAACAGGCAGTGTTGACGAACTGGGATACACTGGGAACAGGTGGAAAAATATGAAAATCTCCAAATGACGGTAAAAAAGTCGCTACATTGTCGCTACTTATCATTATTGCTGAAAAGCCAATTAGGGACAAAAACAGAGATCCGCCGAAGGTGCCACTGGAGGCCCAACCGTCGAAGGCTGAAAATTATGAGGGTGCTACGCACAATTTTCACCCAAAACTCGTTAAAATTGTTAAAAAGAAAACATTTTGGTGCCTTTGTCTAGAAAAAAATGAGTTAGGTATCTATCTGCTAAAAATCCGAGCCAAAAAAAGATATTCTACTCTTGTAATATGCTATTGCAAAATATGCCAATATATGTAAATTAATATTACAGAATTATGAGTTTCCTCAAAATCACTATTTCTGATTCGGATTCAACGTAACGTTGACAATACAGCAGTATGTTATTACCATGGACGTATAAATTTATACGTTCATGGTTATTACCGTATTGAATAATTTATTACAGTCTTTTTGCTGTTGAAGTCTACTCTTCAAAGTATTTCTTTACGGTATTATCAGTCATTGTGTGACAAAACAAGAAAAAAAAACCAAGCGATAAATGCGTCAAATAAATAATCCTAATACACCAACAGACCGAGAACCAGCGAGAAGAGAAACGAAATACCCTGCCTGCGCATAATAAATCAATTCATGGCCATATATGTAATATAATTCGAAAAATGCAATAAGTCACTACAAAATGGCGTTTTTTTTGTAAATCGCCGCTACGTCGCAAAGCACATAAAAAGTCGCTATTTTCGCGATAAGTCGCTACCAATGGCAACACTGGAACAGGAGACGGTTGGCGAGTTAACGAGTTGGCGCGAACATTTCGGAGAGTGAGATTTTGGTTCGAGGATGCAAGAGGCGATATTTTCGTTATGAGAGGTGTCCATGTAGAAGGTAACCGTACGGCGTCATCTCTTTTTTTAAGACAATTTGGCCTTTTTTTTCTATTTCTATGGCTTCTCGGATAATTTTTGTCTTATAGAACCGAATAGGGGCTATCGTTCTGGAGTTTTCAAAGTCAATTTTGTGACCTGTATGAAGATGGTGTTGACCTAGAGCTTAAATTGAATCGGAATTGCGAACAGAAATGGAATGTTCATAAATCCTATTTTGGATTCTACGATTTGTTTGGCCTATATAGGATCGGGGACAGTATGCACAAGGAATTTCATAAACTCCGTGCTGTTCATTTGGAATGTTGTCTTTGATTGATCGGACAAGGGATGAAAGTTTTTGTTGGGGGGTAAATATTGTTTTTATTCCTCTTGATTTAAGAATTTTGTCGATTTTGTCAGTGACACCTTTTATGTTAGGAAGAAAAGCTTTCGTATGATAAGGGTCTGAGTCTTTGGATTAAGATTGAGTGGGAGATTGATGTCTGTGGATGCTCCTATTGATTGAGTGGTTTTCGCTGTAACCGTTTTGGATTAGGACTTGTTTTAAACAAGAGAGCTCAGCGGGTCTACTTGCATCATCGGAAAGGCGTATTGATCTGGGACAAGGGTATTAATGACTGAATTAATTTGTGGAGGTGGATGGTGAGAGTTGGCATGCAAGTAACAATTGCACCCTACAACGAAGGTTGTACGGTTTTGGTGAAATACTTGGCCAATAGTTGTGTAGGGCAGTTGTATGCACTGACAATAGGACGTAGAGGAATATCGGGTTTGTGAATTTTGAGAAGACCATATATTCGAGGTGTTCTAGAAGATTTTTCACGAGGAATTAGAGATTGCTTTATCTCAACAGGAAGAGAGGTTTTATTGATAATGACTTTTGTTGTTTTCTCCAGATACGTTGTTGGATTATACTACAACCTTTCGCCGAAAATGCTTCATCCTTCGTCAAAAACTCCCTTCATTTCATCGAACTTCTTAAACAATATCCTATATCACCGTCAGACATTCCAGTAAGTTTCGATATTGTCTCACTATTTACAAATATTCCTATAGATGAAACTCTAAACATTATGAAAACCAAATACAGTATCCAACAAGACCACTTATCTCTCATTAAACATTGTATGTTTAACACCTATTTCATCTTCCAAAATCAATTCTACTGACAAATAAATGGTGCCCCAATGGGCTCCCCTCTATCTCCAGTAATTTCCAATATCTTTATGAAGACTTCGAGACCCGAGCACTATCCACATCAATGCTCAAGCCCACACGTTGGATATGATATGTTGACGATACATTCGTCATTTGGCCCCACGGCAGGGATGCTTTGATGTGTCTTCAAACCAATCTGAATGGTATACATCCTAGTATCCAGTTCACGATGGAGGTGGAAACTGATTCATCCCTACCGTTTCTCGACGTCATCATAAAGAAAAACCAATCCCAAGGTTTTCATCACTCTGTTTATAAAAAACCTACACATACCAATCGTTACTTGCATGCCAACTCTCACCATCCACTTTCACAAATTAATTCAGTCATTATTATCCTTGTCTCCAGATTAATACGCCTTTCCGATGATGCAAGTAGACCCGCTGAGCTCTCTTGTTTAAAATAAGCCCTAATTCAAAACGGTTACAGCAAAAACCACATCAATAAGAGCATCCACAGACATCAATCTCCCACTCAATCTCAATCCAAAGACTCAGACCCTTATCTTGTAGTCAATCAGGATTGCAAAAACATCACAGCTGACATTTCTACATTTCTAATACAATATCTGCAGCCTAAAAAAGCTTCCCTCGTACCAACGGCGTTCACAAATCCAAATAGGGCGTAATTTGTTCCTCGCATCTTAAATCCAAACTGATTGGGCGTAATTTGTTCCTCGCATTTCCGGTAAATTCTTTTGTGGATGACTTTTAAAATCAGCTTTAGTAGAGGCTCATTAGGCTTATGGCCCTATAGTCTTCACAAACTCCGATTTAAGCCACTCTACTGGTATTTTTCTTGTCTTGCATATTTCAGTAAATATTTCATTTTTATTTGTTCTGCATCTAATAACTTCAGCAGTCCTGTAGGAATTGCATTAAGTCCCGGTGCCTTTCCTTCTTTTATTTGTCTGATGGCTGCAAAAGTTTCTCCAAGTATTTTTTCCATACTTTCTTGTTATCTTCTTTGGTTATGGCAAGATTGCCTTCCCCAGATGTGATTTTTCCGCTGTTGCATTTTCGGAACTTTCCAGCTATTTCCGTCACTTTTCGATGGACATCAGATCGACTCTGATACTCCTCTATTTCAAGACATTCTTTTGTTTTTTATTTCTCTTTGGCTTCTCTAATCTTTCTTCTGATGATGCCATGTATTCTCTTATATCTTGGAGATTTTATTTGTTTTTTTCTCTAATTCATAAGTTCAAGTATTTCATCTGTAATCCACGATTTCTGTTTCCCTGTATCTTTCTTTAAGCGATATTCTTTTATTTACCTCATTGTTTTTTGTATGATGGTCAGAATTTTCTCTATAGTTCCTCCATTTCTGCATTTTAGCACCTTTGTATTGAGGTTTTCACCTTCAGTCGAACATTAAGATCTTTCAGTTTTCTAACATCATACTTCTTCAACAACTTACTTGTAACCTTCTTTATTTTGACTTTGAAATTACCTACAACTGGTACATGATCAGAATTCACGTTTGCCCCGGGTATGTTTTAACAGATGTACAGCTGTTCCTATACCTCGTATTTACTAGCATGTAATTAATCTGATTTCTTACAATCCTTCCCATAGAATCCAGTTGATATTTACAGGTATACAATTTCCTTCTGTGTAGCTTAAACCAAGTGTTTATTATTACTAATTAATTTGCTTCCACAAAAATCTCGAAAATCTCCCCGATCGTTTCGTTTCCTAGTTGATGACTTGATTAATGCTATGTTATAGTTTTTTTACCTCTTCTTCTGTTCGTTTTGTTGTAAGTGCATACACTTGAATTATATTGATGTCGATTGGTCTTGCTTTCAGTTGTATGAGCATCACTCTTACTGAGATTAGGATGAGGTTGTCAATAGATTTTGCCATTTCTTTTGTCCATATAATGCCGACACCTAATTTATGTTGGCCGTTATCTGTTCCAGATGCGGCTCTTGAACCTGGCCAACGCATTTCGCTTATTCCCAGAATATTTTTCCAGACAAACATTAGTAATACACCATTAAACTAATAATTTTAAAATAAGTTTAAATATATATAATATATATATATATATATATATATATATATATATTATATATATATATATATATATATATATATATATAATCAATAACCCTTCTACCCTAAGGTGTTGGGTGTAAAGTCTCTTTTAGTTTTCATGTACAAACTTCCTCCAATTCTTCTTGTTGCTTGCCAACTTCTTCGCTTGCTTCTTAGTGACTCCTCTCCTGTCTAGGATGGCGGAAATTTCATGGGTCTGCCCCTCGGTCTTTTCAAGGTTCTTCTCGCTTCCCACACTTGTTTCACTTGGCTTTTTTAATCCATCC